ACATAAATTTAAATTTAAACCTTGGAGCCAGAGAGGCTCTTCTTCTTCTTAAACAAGCAGGTAGAGGATCCTTTAAACTTTCTTGTCTGGTTACAAGACGACCTTTAAATTCAGATTTATACATGGTTACAAGACGACCTTTAAATTCAGATTTATACAATGTTACAAGACGACCTTTAAATTCAATTTTATACATGGTTACAAGACGACCTTTAAATTCAAATTCAAACAAGGTTACAAGACGACCTTTAAATTCAGATTTATATAATGTTACAAGACGACCTTTAAATTAAGATTTATACAAGGTTACAAGACGACCTTTAAATTCAGATTTATACATGGTTACAAGATGACCTTTCAATTCAAATTCATACAAGGTTACAAGACGACCTTTAAATTCAGATGTATACAAGGTTACAAGACGACCTTTAAATTCAGATTTATAGAAGGTTATAAGACGACCTTTAAATTCAAATTTATACAGGTTACACACAAATCGTCATGTTAGAAGAGTTTTGGGTCATTGTACAGTACCATATCCTTTGCCATTAGCCCTGTTCAAATAACTATTTATAACACTGTTATTTTGGTTCGCAGTGTTATAAAGTGTATGGACAGATATTTTCTCTTTATCGAGAAGGTTCAAGCCCTTTTAGATTTAATCCTGTCCTGAGCTTTAGCGATAAATAAACAATTATTGAATCAAATTCAGTTAAGCAAAATCAGAATCATTAAGAGTTTATTACAATTTCACTATGGATTTTTAATGTTTTACTGAACAAAAAAGTGTTTAAAAAAGATTAGGTGATTTCAAACATTTTAATCATAAAATTGTTTTGGGCATGCGCAACATTTTATATTTTTAAAATTTGTTAAGGCGTAGAGGTAGGCGAATTATCATTTTCGTTTGATTTTAAAAATAGTTAATTCGTTTAGTTAATAAAAGAATGATTAAAAGGCTTTATCAGCCATACTAATCTATTTAGGTTACACAGAACTTTATAATTACTACTTAATTTTTTTATTTTACTGGGTTACCCAAAAAGGATGAGCCTGTCATATGAAGGATTTGAATTTGGTCTTTCGCCTTTGGTGCTATTTATAAGTTTTTCTCAGAGAAAGAAATTTCGGCATTGAAGAAAATATCAATTAAATTATCATTATCATTAAATTCAGATTCATACAAGGTTACAAGACGACCTTTAAATTCAGATTCATACAAGGTTACAAGACAACCTTTAAATTCAGATTCATACAAGGTTACAGGACGACATTTAAATTTTTATTCATACAAGATTACAAGACGACCTTTGAATTCAGATTTTTACAAGGTTACAAGACGACCTTTAAATTCATATTCATACAAGGTTACAAGACGACCTTTAAATTCAGATTTATACATGGTTACAAGACGACCTTTCACTTCAAATTCAAACAAGGTTACAAGACGACCTTTAAATTCAGATTCATACAAGGTTACAAGACGACCTTTATATCCAGATTTATACAAGGTTACCAGACGACCTTTATATCCAGATTTATACAAGGTTACCAGACGACCTTTATATCCAGATTTATACAAGGTTACAAGACGACCTTTAACTTCAAATTCAAACAAGGGTACAAGACGACCTTTAAATTCAGATTCATACAAGGTTACAAGACGACCTTTACATCCAGATTTATACAAGGTTACACACAAACGATGAGATTTCAGAGACGACTGTACGGAATTTATACAGTTTCATTATATTCATAATTCACTGAAACTATAAACGTCTTAGATGCTTTGTCTAATTCTTTAACATCCACACCCAAGGGTGAAAACTTAATTTAAACTTTGCATACAGGATGTCCCACGGAACATGACTGTAGGTAAATAATTTGGAATGTCCTCTTCCGTATACTGTAATAGACATTGTAAACTTTTTGCATTTTTTTCCTTCAATAAAATTTTTTACTAAAATTAATTTTACTATAATATTACTATGCATTAAATATTCTTATAATTGTCTTTGGTATTAAACAACTTAAGTAATTATGGAAGAAGACATTTTTAATTATTCACCAACAGTCATGTTTTGTACAATACCATCTTTTGTCAGTAACCCTGTTCAAAAAACTATTTATAACACTGTTATTTTGGTTCGCAGTGTTATATAGTTTTTGGAAAGAAATTTTCTCTATCTCGAGAAGGTTCAAACCTTTTTAGATTTAGTTTTGTTCTGAGCTTTAGCGATAAATTAATAATTATTGAATCAAATTCAGTTTAGCAAAATCAGGATCATTAAGAATTATTACAATTGCACTATGGATTTTTAATGTTTTACTGAAGAAAAAAGTGTTTTAAAAAGATTAGGTAATTTCAAACATTAAAATCATAAAATTGTTTTGAGCATGCGCAAAATTTATATTTCTAAAATTTGTTAAGGCGTAGAGGTAGGCGAATTATTAATTTCGTTTGATTTTAAAAAGAGTTAATCCGGTTAGTTAATAAAAGAATGATTAAAAGGCTTTATCAGCCATACTAATCTATTTAGGTTACACAGAACTTTATAGTTACAATTAAATTTTTTTATTTTACTGGTTTCCCCAAAAAGGATCACAACAATCTCCAAGATATAAAATTCAACAAATCAGCACTAATTGCCGCACAACTAAGAACTGTACAAGAAACCCTTGAAATCGATAAAGATATATTCAACCATGATCTATCTGAAGGCTACAATCACAAATCAGGGAAACACTTCTGCAGACTCAATTAGGCCAATGAACACAGACCCAGCTCTAAAAAGTACTATGTCCAGCCTACAATTCACAACTCAATGGTCTTCTACAAGAAGTATGTGATGAACTAACTGATCAAAATGTTCTATAAGCATTCCTCAAGAAGACAACATCATAGTACAATGTGTTGCACCCTGCTTCCTCAGGAAAAAACAAAAAGCCAAAAACAAACCCAACAATGAGCTGGGAAAAGAAGATGTAAGATTTGATCATATAAAGGAATTGAATTTGGTCTTCGCCCTTGGTGGTATTCTAAGAGAAAGAAATTGCTTCAGGAATTGCGACATTGAAGAAAATATCAATTAAATTATCATTATCATTATTTTTTTTTTATTAATCATTGATCTCTACCTGTTAATAAGCTTCCTCTCCTTGCACAGTCCTAAATAGATTAAAACAAAAAATCAAAAAGTTGTAGGTGTTGATATTTGTAGGTGTTGATATTTGTAGGTGTTGATATTTGCAGGTGTTGATAAATGTTTAAATATAATCTGAATTATATACAATTCATACAATAGCACTTGCTTTTAAAATTATAAAAAATACAAAAATTTTTTTAAATAAATGTTTATTCACAATGGTTTATTACTTTTATTTGAAAACTAAGAAGTATTTTGAAATGCTTTGCAGAACATAGCAACTAAAATATGCACATTTGCCCATTCTAATGTCACTATGGTTTCAGTAGAAGTAAATATTTCCATTTACTGATAGCGCCGATTACAGGATTCATAACTCTGATTGGATAATGAGATAGATAGAAGGATAGATGTTACCGCTTTACTATTTCTATTGGTTCAGAATAGACAACAAACGCAGGACTGAACCCTGATTGGATCAGGCGCTAATGGACTCGGCATGCAGGAGTGATGCCAAAATATATAAAAAGTGATTCAATGGGGCAAGGGGGAAAATTTTAGATAAATTCTTTTTCTTTATAATTAATATCTAACAAAGTTTGGACCAAAAACCATCTATTTCCCAAATTGAAGAAAATTTGAAAAACCTATTCTTATGTCGTGTCAGTAAAAGCACGGTAACACTTATTTAAAACTGATGTTGTAGACCTTTGATATTTTAAACTTAGATTATTTGATCTACCAGAATTTTTAGTTTTTAATATCGAAGGTCTACAACATTTGATGTCAAAGATACAAGCATTAGAAAATCAGAGTTTGTGGCAAAGATACAAGCATTAGAAAATCAGAGTTTGTGTCAAAGATACAAGCATTAGAAAATCAGAGTTTGTGGCAAAGATTCAATTCTTTTGCTGAAGTGTGTTGACATATTCAAACCAAAATTAAAGCACAAAAATTAAAACGGAACTTTTAAAATTTTTTTTGTAAAACTTTGAGTCTTGTTGGTCAGGACGAATGTGTAACTTTACCTTAAACAGTTCTGGGTTTGTTTTCTCCACCTGGCTTGCTAGACCCAGGGACCTAGATACAAATATATTAATTAATAGGTCAGGTCAGGTTAGGTCAGGTTAAGCAGGATAGGTCTGGTCAGGTTAAAAACAGAGTCAGGTTGTACATTTCATAATCTAACTTTATTCTAAACAAACAAAAAAAGGTTTATTGAATTCACGAAATTAAGGAGATCCCATTCATTTACAAAAACTTGTTAATAGTTTTGATATAAATAGGTAAACAGCCCCTTTAATAAGATTGTCAGTCTACAAATATCCCCCCCCTCTCCCACCCTCTTGTCAACTAACCATAATCTTAATTTCTTGATATACCCCGAAGTGGAGATTAATGAAAAGAAAAGAAATTATTTAGTGTCTATTTCGGGAATCCCTTAATACTCTGAGCATTACAGCAGGAGACCCTTAATAACCTTACCTTAGATACACATAGTATACAACCATCATAGAGTAGATATATAAATAGAGAGGAATTAACTTCATAGAGTAGATATATAGATAGAGAGGAATTAACTACATAGAGTAGATATATAGATAACAAAGAGATTCATTAATTCATGATCCTTTAATTCTAAACAAACAAAGAAATATATAAAACATGAAAGATGAAATGAAAAAGCTATAAAAATATGATTTGTATAAAATAAAGCAAAAAGATGAAAAAAATATATCAAAGATATAGATATACAAGAATATAGATCGCTAATGAAGACTGAAAAGCTGAAAATCGTACAACCCCTTGTACATCATGAATTCGTCATATAAAATGGTCATTGAATACGTTTTTCTTCTCGGGGTCAATCTGTAGAGTAATTTTTTACTAATTTATTTAAAGAAGTTTAATAAAAACTAGGTCTCACCCATTAACTATTTTAGCTTTTAACCCTAAACAGGCTTGGCCGGCCCTATGAGTTTTTTTTGTCCTAGCACTCTAATTTGTCACTATCAAAGTGAAATTTTGTGACTTTTACTGAATAGTAATTTAAAGAATTTTTTGTCAAATTTTTTTTAATGTATGGTACGCCCTAGGGCGATGAAAAGTCCAGTCTGTGTAAAAAAAAATCTGAAAGGGCCCATAACTTTTTTGTGACTAAAACTACAGATCTAAAAATTAAATTTTTAAAAAGCCCTTTAAAAATTAATGTAGAAACATGCGTCACACTTTGATATTTGTTTAAAAAAAATTACATTTTTTTTACCCTTGGCCGTTTTTTCAACCTTACCTAGAGCCCGAACTTTTAATGTTATCGGTCTAATTCTTTTTTAAATGGGCGTGAAACGATCCGGCTGGCAAGCACATTTGCTCTGAATCTCTTTATTTTCTTTTATTTCTTCGTAATTGTTAAATGTTTCGTTCAAAAATTTTCCCTTTTTATTTTATTCCAGCACCCCCATTAATTGCACCTGTATTGTAAGCTAGGAGGGGAGCACAGAGCACAGTTAAAGGAGTGAGAACACTTTCCTGAAATTATTTTTCTTTGAAATCACTTTTAAAATCATTTGGGAAAAAAAACGTTTGCTAGTAACGGAAGTTCGCAGTAGGATTTTGATTCCACTGGAGACCACTGGAGGGATTTTATTTTAACAAGAGGGGTTCGAAAAATCGTTATTTCCAATTTAAAACATTAAGCAGGTTCATTTACATTCCACCGGAGGGATTCAAATAACCATCCAGGAGGTTTACATGTCCATTGTAGGGATTCAGATATCCATCCTGGGGGTTCATAATTCCACTGGAGGGATTCAGATATCCATCCTGGGGGTTCATAATTCCAATGGAGGGATTCAGATATCCATCCTGGGGGTTCATAATTCCACTGGAGGGATTCAGATATCCTTCCTGGGGTTCATAATTCCACTGGAGGGATTCAGATATCCATCCTGGGGGTTCATAATTCCACTGGAGGAATTCAGATATTCATCCCGGGGGTTCATAATTCCACTGGAGGTCTTCAGATATCCATCCTGGGGTTCATAATTCCACTGGAGGGATTCAGATATCCATCCTGGGGGTTAATAATTCCACTGGAGGAATTCAAATATTCATCCCGGGGGTTCATAATTCCACTGGAGGTCTTCAGATATCCATCCTGGGGGTTTATAATTCCACTTGAGGAATTCAGATATCCATCCTGGGGGTTCATAATTCCACTGGAGGTCTTCAGATATCCATCCTGGGGGTTTATAATTCCACTTGAGGAATTCAGATAAATGACAACGCTGGATACTTCTGTTAGTTATGTGCAGGGTGTCCCAATAAGCATAGGACGATTTCTACATCAAAAATCAAAGGCGATTTTCAAGTCTTCTCTTGATTCCCATGTTTATTGAGACACTTTAGATCGTTTTTAAACAAATCCCAACCCTACTCTCTAGTAGAATTATATCATTTTCTTCTCAATATATTTCGCCAAAAACTTTGGCATCATCAGGAGTTTGTCCTATAATGTAACAGATATAAGCAAAAAATAAAAATAAATAATATAAACACAGCAACTAAAATAAACAAAGAAGAGACAACCTGTATAAAATGAATGTATGTAAAGTCTGCACAAATAAAATAATTCAGAAAACCCCTGAATTCTATTCTAATTCTTGGTTCTGTTGACACGGCAATAAAATGTGTTTAGGTGGAGAAATGCAAAAATAGTTTCAAGATAAACTACGCAATTTCTAAACTTAAATTATATTTAGATTTAGAGACAACATTTGCATAAACTTGAATTCGAAACAATTTAGCATTGTAAAAAGTGTTTCAATGAACCATCTGGAACTTCAAGGAGCAAAGCACCCCTCATACTCCCCTCCTCCCTTGGTAAAAGCTTCAAAAGGCAATGAAGAAAAAAGGAAAATTGGGGAAAAATTGATGTTTGGATGTTTTTAAATAATAAAATTGCACGAAGAGCTTGTGAGCTATGCGAGGAACAATTTTTAGCTGGATAATTTCAAAGTTACCTTTAAAAAACCCGTACCCAGCAAACGGCCCTGGGACTCGGCTAAAGTTGAGCTTAACTTCACTTTTGCAATCCAGAAATGGAGTTATAATCGAGTTTCAAAGTGGAGTTATATATTCTGCAGCTATGGTCGTGTCATAACTAGATTAAACACAGACTTTAAGCCACTGTTGAAGTCCACTCGCCAACTACTGGGTGAAATCTAGTTGCAAAACCCGGACTTAAACTTTACTTTTTTAATCTCAGTTTGGGAGTTGGTTCAAATCAAAGTGAATTTATTCGTTTTGGGTTCAAAGTCAGTGCTGTCATCCAGTTCGGACACTACTATTGCAAAGTTTAACTTCACTTTGAAAACAAGTTGTTCAATCAGGTGCTGTTTGGTGGATATTTGCGTAGCCTCGGTAAGGAAGATTTTAAACTGTTTATAAAGTGCTAATCAGAAAGACCCGGAATTAATCAAACGACATTAAAACTAAATTTACAAAAATAATTGATAAAACAAAGCTGAGATAATGACAAAATAGCTCTAGTCCTGCCATTTCAAAAATGTGGTCTGCCTTTTTTGAGCATTTAAATTTCCCTGAGAAAGCTATGTACAATCGCCTGATAAACTATCAATTAATTCCGGGTCTTTCTGATTATGATTGTACGAAAAAATCTAACTTTTTCAGTTTTGAAATATAAAAATAGATAATAATATAATACCTGTACAAACTCAGCTTTAACACTCAGCGCAACGGTACTCCAGAATTTCTCAAAGTCCACGTCCAGATTAGTTCGGTCGATATTCACGGATTTTAGGAACATCTACAGAACATACAGTGAGACCCACAACATTGTGGAATAGGAAGATTTTATGAAGGCTTATGGCTTTAGATAGTCCAATGAACATGAAACATATCAATTGTGTATTGTGAACCCAATTAATTTAATAAGTTGATTTTTAAGCTGCATGTTAAACCATTTGAACTTTAACAACTCATACATTCATTATAAAAAAAATAACGCGTATTTACAAAGAATCAAAAGGATTGAAAATGTAAAAAAGTAAATTATTTAAACTTCCAGTATATATTTCTGTAAAAGTTTTGCAAACAACAGAAAAAATACTGATTCGGCAATTTCTGTTTAGATTTCCTTAAATGATGATAATGATGATAATGATGATAATGATGATAATGATGATAATGATGATAATGATGATAATGATGATAATGATGATAATGATGATAATAATGATAATGATGATAATAATGATAATGATGATAATGATGATAATGATGATAATGATGATAATGATAATAATGATGATTATGATGATAATGAACCTGAAGATCAGATGCACAACGTCCATAGTGAAGGGTGATAAAGAAACATGTGACCAGTCTACCAATGCCACCTTTTTCAAAGCATATTTTCTGAGTGTGTAAATAAGTTTTACAGGGTGACCCAAAAAAATGAATAGGGAGATTTAGTGTTAAAAGCAGAACAGAAATCTAAATAGAGGTTTAGTGAGTAAAGATAATTTTAAAGTAGTGCAATGCAATGTAAAAAGAGGTTTCTAAGAGATGAATTTTTTACATTTCTTGATTTAAACTACACAAAATGTCTCGAACGATAGAGAAGAAAATGTGTCAAGAAAGCATTGCAAGATGATGGACCAAACCTTTTCAGAGTAAAAAAGTAGATGTTAGTATCACATTTTATTAAAAATATATTTCAGTCTGGATTGACCCTAGTCAGATCCATAAATGAAATAAAACTGCAATGAAATAAAAAGTGTGGGCATTCTGTGCCAAAAGTACACACATAAAATTTCCTCAGGGATTAAAAAAAATTTTTGCGTTAAATAGTGATAATCTGCAATGCTCAATATCGATATCCACTGCGATAACTTTTAGATTTCAGGTGATCTCTTAATTTTAGTGGTAGGCCGTAGGGTTGTTAATTGTTTTTCAAAACGATTTTTCAAAACGAACGATACCATTGTTTTTAGAAAAAATCAATGGGTCAAAACGAACAAACCATTCACTTTAAACTTTTGAAAAAACGAAAAACGAAACGACAATAGGTTCGTTTAGTTGAAAAACGAAACGACAATAGGTTCGTTTAGTTGAAAAACGAAACGACAATAGGTTCGTTTAGTTGAAAAACGAAACGACAATAGGTTCGTTTAGTTGAAAAACGAAACGACAATAGGTTC